GGGGGGTGGGAGAGGGATTGGATATGAGGAGGGGTGAGGACCCCCTTCCACTGCTGCACCCCCCTCCTCCTCCTCCTCTTCCTCCCCCTCCTCCTCCTCCTCCTCCTCCTCCTCCTCCTCGTCCACTCCAGGAGGAGCTTGGGCATACTCACCGCCGTGGCCTGGCCAGTGGGCCTGGCATGGCGGTTCTGCTGCACTTCAAGCTGATGGTAATGGGCATCCTCAGCGGCCTGGTCCCCTCTTCAACCTTCCTGTCGGAAGCGGCGGACACGGGCCTGGTGGCGGAGGCGGAGGCAACGAGGCTGTTGCTCCCGACACCAACGACGAATTGGCGCAGCTCGCGGCGTTCGTCGCGCAGCTGCGCGTGGTCGGCGACGTGGAGGGTGCCGAGCGATACCAGTCCAAGGTGGAGGCTAAGCAGGCGGAGCTGGCGGCGGCGCGCCAATTACCGCTTCCACAGCAGCATGCCAACAGGGCTTTTTCACGACATGCGGGCAATCGATGGTCAACTGGGCAAGGCGGTCTCTGCCTACGAGTCGGGTGAGCTCGAGCTTCGGGTCTGCAACATCGTGTTCCCCCTTTGTCGAGGGAGCGGGGGTTGGCTGAGCTGACTCACAGGGACGTGGTCAACAATTTGCACGTCCATGTTGACGGCCTTCCACCTGCTTCTGCCTCAGCTTCTTCGGCGGGCTTATCTACCGACGACATCCGTGCGGGGAAGGACGTGTCTATAAATATCGAGTCGTTTATCCCGCCCAAGGCGGATGAGTACGAGATGTCGGCTGAGGAGCTTGAGGAGAATGACGAGCGCATCTCGGCCCTTCGGGAGTGTTTGCGACAAATTGTCACCGCGCTCTTCGCTGAGACGAAGACTCAGGCTGACAAGTTCCGTGGCGACTGGCAGCAACGGCAGCAGCGTCTCTCCGCCTAGGGGCGAAAAACGGGGTGCGAGGAGGCTTCTGTGGAGCAGTTGCCAACGCCGCCTGAAGGTGAGGCTGGCAAGCCGCCGACCGCAGCGCCCGCTTCAAACGGGGATTCGCAAGAGGCTTCGTTGGATCAGCTACATCTAAGCCGCCTTCGGCATCTGATGCTCGTGAGCGGGCTAAGAATAGTTCACAGCAGTATGCCTTCTGTCGCGGCTTAATCTTGATTGTCTTGGCAGGGGGGGCTCCGTGCAAAGGTGGCAGCCTGACCTCGGCAGCTGTGGATTTCGTTTTCTCCCCGTCGCTCCTCTGGGGCCCCGCGGCCCAGGGAACCCATCGGGGGGCTCTTTCTCCGTGGTGGCGCGAAACTGGGAACGTATATGAGGCAGGTGTAGCGCCCCAGGGGTCGCCGCCCTTGGCCCCGCCAGGCTTGGAACCGTCTCTGGTCAGGATCAGGAGAGGCCTGGCCTCCCCAGTTGTGGTCGAATGCACCGCTTGTCCGTGGGGTGAATTGGCTACCGTGGCCACCATTTTCCTCGGCATACCCGGCTTCGCCGCGACCTGCCAGTCTTGGCCGTCATCTGTCGCGCTCGAGGTTTTCGTTCCAGTTTTTTTTTTTTTTTTTTTTTTTTGTTTTTTTTTTTTTTTTTTTTTGTTTTCGGGCTCTTCGCCGCGCGTTGTCCAGGATTGAGGGGGTCCTGCGTCGTGCTTTATCGGGCCCCCATGAGGCGCCCCCGTGTGCCCCATTGTCCCGGTCTCTGGAAAGGGCGGCGGATCTCGGGGTAGCGACGCTTTTTTTTTGTTGTCCGATCAGTTGTTGTTGGACAGTTTTGTTCTTGAGTCTTTCTCTCCGATCTTCGAGGCCTGTGACGTTTCAGTGTGGGGGTGTCGCGCGCGTGCTACTCTTGCAGGAGCGCGAGCAGCTTCCATTGCAGATTGTGTCACCGTCCAGTTGGGCTACTCGTACTGGCTGGAAATCTTTCTGGAGCCCACCTGTTGGAGGGGTGGCGGTGCTCGTGCGCGGCGGAATCGGCTTTCGTGCGCCACATTCTGGTCGTGACTTATGGCTCGTGCAGTTGCTGGTGCTGCGGAACTTCCAGGGTTGGGCCCAAACGACGGCCAGCGCCGAACCACTACCAGCACCGACACGACGACGACTCCAAGGCAAACAACCACCGACGCCAGCAGCGACACAGAGGGCTGGGATCCGCAAGTGCCCAGCATCTAGCATGACCAGCTCCATGCCACCCCCTCCGCCGGCGCCGTCTGGTCCTTCGGCGCCCCAGCCGCAGGACTTACAGTCCGATTCTCCCCAGCCCATGCCTCCGGTGCCGTCCGGGGACGCGCCGCCCATGCCGCCAGGGTCGTCCGGTTCAGTCCCACCACCGACACCACGCCAATACGCTTCTATTGTCGACCTACCAGCTCCTCCACGCCCTCCAGGGCTACGGAAAGATACGTGTCAATTCTGTGGGAAGGTATTTGCTAGCACGGAGAAGATATGGAGTTCGACATGGTATACACAGCACGTTCGTACATGCCCCAACATGCCCTACGACATGGGGGTAGCCCGGGTTCGTCTCACAGTGTCTGCTCTGCGAACACGACCGGAGCTATATGTGCATGTCCACATTGTGGAACACTGTTTACATCTGCACACGGAGTGGCTAAGCACGCGCGCGGATGTGCGGAGCGCCGAACAGCAGTTGGGTTTCCCATGCATCGATTGACATACCACATCACTGCAGCTGAACCGGCTCAAGTGCCCACGGCAACGACTCGGGCTGAACAGGACCCAAAGCGAAACGTCTGTGAATTTTGCTATGTTCCGGGTTGCTTATTTGTTTGCTCGATGTCGTTATTGCGCGCGGTTTCTTTGGCGTTGCTGGACGCTCTTCGCGATGCCGCAGCGCATGGTCGGGCCCCGGCTCGCCTGGGCCCCGCCGCGGAGTCCGTGGGCCCTGGCCCCAGAATCAAAGGAGATTTGCGCCCTTGAGTCGAGGGCTCTGGACGCGGGGTCCGCGGGGCCCCAAGTACACAGGCCACCCGCGCGCGCTGGGCTTGCCCCCCGAGATGCCACCGGACGAGGCCACCGAAAGCTGCCCCGAAAGATGGCAGTTTCACATCGGTCGAATCATGAGCGAAAGTTGGGTGAATTATCTTCGGTCTTGTTTTCAACAGTGCGGAGCACCATCCGAGGCGTCGACGGGCAAGATTTGGAGCCCTTACGCGGCGCGATTCGGAGCCCCATTCGGGGCGTCGATGGGCAAGATTCGGAGCAGGAGCGCGGCCGCCGCAGGCAAGATTCGGAGGTGGGATTCGGCTACATGAGGTGCGATCAGCGCCGTCCTCAGCAGCCTCTCAGAAGCATCGGAGGAGCCCCTTGGGAGCTTCTCCGGAGCCTCTCAGGATCATCTCAGACTCTTCGCGCTCGCGCCCGCGCAAAGGCGGGCTCAATGCCCCCCCGGCGCTGCGTCGTGAAATGGAGCGTGCGATTTGCATCTTTCAGATTTGAAGAGGAAGCCGCATTCACATGCCATCTTGGGGGGGCAGTTCAGCCCGACAACGACAGCAGCAGGACCCACACCAGCACCTCCAGCACCACCAGACGGTCATGGACGCCGCACAGCTCGCCGCGTGGGGTAATTTTTCACACTCGTTCGACGGGCTGATTTGTTTAGTGCCCGGCCCCGCGGGCAGGGGGGAGGTCGAGAGAGAGGGTGTGAGAGGGCCCCCGCAGGATGACTGATGCCTTGTGTGCGACGCGGAGTCCTCCTCCCCAGGGGCTCCGCTGTCTGCAGAGAGGGCTCGCGTCTTCACAATTTAATATGCACCAGTTTGATGCAACCTTGCAGGCAGGGAAGAGGCTGGGGGGGAAGGAGCGACAGGGCCCGCGCAGGTTGACGGACACCCTCCGTGCGACGCGGAGCCCCCTTCCCCGGGGGTTCCGCCGTATGCAGGGAGGGCTCAGCTTTCCGCGGCTGATGCGCGTGTCCGGTGCGACCCCGCGGGCAGTGGGGAGGTCGAGAGAGAGGCTGTGAGAGGGCGCGGGTTGACGGGCGCTCTCCGCGCGACGCGGAGTGAAGGCCGAGACGGAGAGGGCGGGGGGACAGGAAGGAGAGATACGACCCTACCCGGCCGCCGGGAGGACTCAGCCGCAGCCCGCTGGTCCTGCACCAGCTCGGTGCGACCGCGGGCCCGAGGCGGAAGGGGGGGGGGGAACGGCCCGCCCTGTCCACCTGGGTATGCGAGGGGTGCTTTTGTGAGCCATGTTCGTGGAGCAGCAGGCCATTACAAGTAGAACGTGCACGTGAATGAGACAGTGCTCGACTACTTGTCAGCTGCTTGAAACTGCTTATGAGTGACGTGGTTAGTATAGAGTCCTCTGGTGTCAGCTTGCTTATGTCTCGTTGGTCCACGCGCGGTTTGCGTGCGCGGGCCGACGAGGCGCAACAAACTCGTCTGAACACCAGGCTCGAAAAGTAGGTCTGCTGTCTCTCTGTCTATTTTCCCGCCGCCATTTGGGATTCACGGGAATCCCTTCCGTGCCCGTCTTCGTATTCTGTTTGATTTTTCAATTCGTATTTTGGGTGCTGACGTAGCACCACATCCGATCCTGATCCTTTACTCTTAGTATCCTCCTCCTCTTCATTCGTCGTCGTCGTCGTCTTCCTCCTCCTCTTCCTCCTCCCCCTTCTCCTCCTCCTTCTGCTCCTCCTGCTCCTCCTTCCTCTCCCTCGCATCCTTCCCGTTCCTTCCCGCCGTCTCTGGCCGTCGTTCCCTTGTCCCTTCCCCTTCAGCTTCCTCTCCCATGCCCGTGCCCCGTGCGTGCCCCGTGCCCCGTCCCTGCCCTTGTCCCTGCCCTCGCCCCCGTCCGCTCCCTTCTCTCTTTCTAGAGCCGCCTCGGGCACAAACGGTTTTCGGCATCTCGGCGTTCGAGGTCTCTTTAGCCATGGGGTCATCTGTCCTCTCGTCTGCTCATGACGCGCCGTCTTATCCAATGTCATCATATCCCCCCCCTCCCCCCGCAGGTGTGGTGCTGCATATACTCTGGTCGCGGGTGCACAGGTGACCAGGATGCGTCGACCGAGAAACGGTCGACTGTGCCGAAGGAGCGGCCAGCTGGCTGCCGCTGCCGTTTCTGCCGCCGCCGCCGTCGTCGTGGTGGCGGTCGTCGTCTGCCGCGCACGCGCCGTCGGCGTCGCCGTCATTCGGATGTTGTTTCATTTGGTCGTGGCCCGAGGTGACCCCAGCTTCTCCAGGGACCCCAAATGGCTTCCAGAACACATCTCACGAGGCCCAGATGGCCCAAGGGGCTCCGCAATGGAACCAACATGTGGGGACACCTTGGGCCAAGGACACCTGTGACACCCCCTGGACACATGTAGCAATCCCCGAGTCGTGGTCCTCGTCAGCGTCGCCGGTCGTCCGCCGCCCGCTCGCTCGCTCTTATCCCGTCTGCGGCCGCGCAGGCGGCGCCGCCTCGCCGACCCCGTGCGCCGTTCACTCGCCATCCGCGTCGCTGTGGTGGTCCTCGTCGGCGTCGTCGCCGCCGTGCGCCGCCCGCTCGCCTCCTCGCCTCATGGATTCTGGCGCATTTAGTGCGCAGTGTCTCCCCGCGCAAGAATCTGGATGAGTGCCCGTGACGCTATCTGGTGTTCTGCTGTTGGGCATGGCCCTGTTGTCTGGTGCCCAGCGCACCTAAATTGGACAGCAAGACGTTGAAAATTGGGCTCCCGCGTGCGGCGGGCGGCGCGGCGGCGCCGCCTCGCTGCCCAGAGGGGGGCGGCGCCTCGCCGCTCTGTGCGCCGCGCGGGGGGCCCTCCTCCCCTCCTCCTCCTCCTCCTCCTCCTCCTCCTCCTCCTCCTCCTCCTCCTCCTCCTCCTCCTCCTCCTCCTCTTCCTCTTTCGGTTGCATGTTCCCCCATCCTCCTCCGCCTCGTCCTGCTCCTGTTCTTCCTCCTGGCGCTCCCGGCCACGGCTCTTCGGCCGCCCGCGGCGGCTCTCGGCGGGCTGCCCGCGGTCGGCCGCTGTCGGGCTCGCCGCCGCCGCCGCCGACTCGGCTCGGCAGCGGCTCTGGGGCGCTGGGCTTCGGCGCGGCTGGACGGGCGTTTCGTGAAGGCAGCGGCCGCCGCCGCCGCCCAGCGCGGCCGCCGCCTCGGCTCGGCAGCGGCGCTGGCGCTGGGCCGCCGCCGCCGCCGAGCCCTCGGGCCCCTCGGGCCCGCTGTGCGACGTCAGATTTTGGCCAGGGGCCAATTATCACGCAGCCACCTCGGGCGTCGGGGGGGCGATGAGAGGAGAGGGGGATCGAGGGTTGCAGGAGAGTGGCCCCGAAAGGGGTCCTAGGGCCCCCCCTGAGGTGAGTCTTTCCTTCCCCCCCATTGAGCAGTTGAACGACGCCCGACGCCCCCCCTCACCCCGCGGCGCGCGAGGACGGCGGTGGGGGCGAGGCGAGCGGCGCGGGCAACGCGGGCGAGACCGGGAGCAAGGACATGCCGCCCGGGGGCGGGAGCAGGAGAGGAGGAATCGAGGAATCGAATAACGAAAATGACATAGACATAACATTTTCGGATGTCAGTGCGGATTTCTTGCGTCGGCGCTGGAGCCCCTTTTGGCGGCGCCTCCAGCGCCGCTTCTGGCGCGCTCCGCAAACCTAGGAGATCCAGGCGAACCCCTCAAAGTTAACATTTATGCCTTTGTTTCTTCTTCTTCTTCTTCTTCTTCTAAAGAGGAGGAGTGGAGGATCGAGGCACGGGGGGGGCGAGGATCAGGGGTCGAGGGTCGAGGATCGAGCGCGGACCTTTGAGGATCGAGATCCGAGGATAGCGGCCTAAGATTTTCCGCCGCTTCTGGTCCCTGGAGGACCGTTGCGGGCCCTGGGGCTGCCCGAAATCGGTCGGGGTTAAACATCGGTTAGGAGCGGACATGGGGTACCTCGGAGGGGGGTCGAGGTTCGAGGCTCCAGGGTCAAAGATTGGGGCTTGCGGATCGAGAATTGAAGGTTCCGCAGAAGCCTTTGTGGACCTTATGGTTTCTCCACCATTCTTTTCCCTTATGAGTAACTCCTCTCTGTCGCGCCCCGAGGCTGGTCGAAAGGGCGGGCCGGGCGTTTCGCCGGGCGTTTCGCCCGCGACTTTCTTTCCGTTTATGGTCCTCTTATGGTCCTGAAGTTTGAAATTTAGCAGCAGTTTCACAGGTGGAGGGTTTTCAAAATGTGGCTCTCGCCTCAGCGCCGCGCGCATTCGTTATGAACGTTGCAAGGGTTTCACGGATTGAGGGCAGGCCGTTATCAACATGTGGCTCTCGCTCAGCGCCCCGCACGTTCGTGTTAATAAATGCAAGAGTTTCGTGGATGGAGGGCAGGTCGTTGTCAAAATGTAGCTCTCGCTCTAGCGCCGCGCACCTTCGTGTAAACTATTGCAAGTGTGTCACGGATGGAGTGCGGGTCGTTGTCAAAATATGGCTCTCGCCTCAGCGCCGCGTGAATTCGATTTTCACGTATTGAGGGCGGGTCGTTTTCAAAATGTGGCTCTCGCCGTAGCGCCGCGCACATTGGTTTCAAACATTCGCAAGAGTTTCACGTGCTGAGGGCGGTTTCTTTTCAAAGTGTGACTCTCGCGAAAACGCTAGGAGTAGGGCGCGCGGAGGCGGACGGTGCAGCGACATTGGGCGTCGTGTGCCACCGCGGCCGGCACGGGCGTGTATGCCTCGACATCGGCCTGGTGGATTCCGTGACGGTCGCGCAGCTCGGCAGGCCCCATGAGGCGGTCCTGCAGCGTAGGGAAAAATTGAAGCATCGCAGATACCCATTCCAGGGACTCGTGCCCTATGTCTTCGACATCAATGGCAAATGGGGCGCCGATGCCGAGACCTGGCTGAGGCGCGTGATCGGTGAGCTTCCCGAGGGCGAGCGCCACGCCGCCAGGTGCTTTCTTCGCTCGTCGGTCGCCCGCGCCTTGCCGGGCCAGGTGGCCGAACAAATTGCTCTCGCCACACAGGGCGTCGTGCCGAGGGCAGGGGCAGCCCCGCGTGCTCGGCAGCGACTAGCTTCCGCACCCATCCCCGCCCCCTCCCCCGCTCCCTGCGTCATTCGCCGTCCGGGGCCCTGGCCGTGCTGCCTTGCTTGCTATCGCCAACGTCTCCACGCTTCGCATACTGGCCGTCTTGCGTCTTGCTCGCGCGTGGCGGGAAAACAGCCAGCTTGCCTCAGTCATTACAGGCATATGATGCTACCCGCTGTAGGTCTGGCCCATCGGACGCACAGTGTGCTAGGAGCCCGCTCAGGCAGCGTCAAGAGGCGGAAAGTGGCGGCCAGGGTTGGGGCAGCCCCGTGGGTCCTGGGGCCTATTGCGGCTCGTCATCGAAGTCGACGCTTGCTCGTGACGTGGTTGTCTCCCCCCCTTTTTTTTGTTTTTCTCTCTCTCTCTCTCTCTTTCTCTCTCTCTCTCTCTCTCTCGCTCCCTGCGCGCGCTCCGGACGGGGGTGGGCCCGATTTTTTTTGTCTCCCCTGCCTCGTCTTCTCCCTTGGCGGGCCGTTTCAACCTTTGTGCTTTTGCCACCTTTTTTAGTTTCCTGTGGGGGGATCGGCCACCCCCTGTCAGCTGGGCGCGCGGCCTGTCTAGTCCCGCCCATCTCGACCGCAGCTGTTTGGATCGCGCGGCTTCGCGGCGCCATGGCGCCGAAGCTCTCGGATCCCGCGGTGGTGCCCTGGCCAGCGGCGACTCGCCCCGCCCCCCCGAGCCGTGGCCCCGCGCCGCTGCGCGAGGCCCTCAGCGCCAAGGCCAAGGCTAAAGCAGAGGCCAGGGCTAAGACTGAAGCTCCATGAGAGCAGATGGAGCTACAGTCGGAAGCCGATGCGATGACGGCAGCGATGGAAAGGGTCGCCGAGGATATGGGCGTGGGCATTGACACGTCCAGCAGGGGCGCGCCGCCAGCCGCGGAGGCGGTTGCAAAGGAGGTTGGGCGCCCGATGGCGGTGGCGGAGGTATCGGGGCAGCCCCGCGTGCCTCGCCCCGACCAGATGGTGGACCTCTCTGAGCGCGACATCTCCGAAGAGGAGTTCGTGCGCGTCCCTGAGGGTTCAGCCCCCGTGCCCAAACCGAAGAGCGACTCGGAGGAGCCCGCTGCCGAGGGGCGGGGTGGTGCGGGGGCAGCCCCCGGTGCCTCCTCGCCCGGCGGCGCGGGGCCCTCCATGCCCGCGAGGCATGCCGTGGCAGCCGCCCAGGCCGTGTTGAGCGTGGTGCGGTACGAGGGCCTCTCCGTGGACCAGAAGAGCGGTCTGGACAAGCTGACAATGGCGCCCCGCGCAATTCAGCTGCGGGGGCAGGTGGGCAATGGGCCCGCATCGGGGGCCCGTGGCGACCCAGGTGAGGCGACCAGTGCCGCGGGCGGCAGCGAGGCGGGCAGCGGCGCGCCGAGCGCGGCCACTACAGAAGCGACGGGCCGGGGTTCCAAACGGAACCGCCGTCGGAGCAACAAGGCGGCGCGCGGCCAAATGCAGCCGAAGTCGGAGGGGGGTGCCGACGCCTTCGTGGGCGCGGAGGAGCTCGCCCGGGAGGACTGCGAGTCCTTGGGCTGGGAGTTCAGCATGGGATCCAACTGAGTACCGCCGCAGCGGCTGGGCTGGTGCCGTCGCTGCTCAGCCCTCGACGATTGGAAGGTCATGGAGACAGAGTGGGTCGAGGAGCTGTCGACGGCCGAAATGGCCCGCTACGGGCAAGCGCTGGGCGCGAACCCCGGGTGCCGGGGTCTGCGCGCCTACGCCTGCTCCAAGTGCGTGGCCGAGCACGGCGGCATCGACGAGCGCGAGGCAGTCGCGAAGGCGGCGAGACTCAACGAGGGTGCTGGCTCAATCCAGCACTCGCGTGACCGCGTGGCCATTTTCCTGGAGTCCTTCAACGTGCTCGAGGAACGCCTAGGTGTGCTGGTGGGCCACGCCTACGCTCTCTCCGAGGATGGAGTGTCGGCCCTGCGGCGTGCCACGGTGGGCGTGGGCATGGGCGTTGGCCCGTCCAGCAAGGGGGCGCCACCTGCCGCGGAGGCGTTTGCAAAGGAGGTTGGGCGCCCGATGGCGGTGGCGGAGGTATCGGGGCCGCCCCGCGTGCCTCCGCCGCCTGGGCGACGCTGCCGGCTGGGAGATGGCGGCGACGCCGCGCTCCGAGGCCTCGGCAGACCACGGGCTCGCGTCGGATGAGCCCAACACTGGGGGTGCAACGCTGGTGGAGGACGTCGACGACGTCCAATCCCTCATGTGGATGGGCTACTGCAGGAAGACGCCCAAGCGTATGGCGAGGTGCTGCGGCGTAGTGTGGTACGAGACCCTGCGGACGCACGTGAAGGGCGCCCTCGGGGCCATCCTCGAGAAGAAGAGCGACGTGATCTGCGTGGTGAGCTGCGCGGAGGGTATGGAGACCTTGTTCGAGATGCCAGATGCAGCTGTAGAGGGGCGCCGCGCGGTGAGAGCTGAAATCGAAGCGGGGGGCGCTGCGTGCGCGGCCGAGGAGGGCAAGAGGGGCCCGCCTTCGGGAGGCTGCATGGCCTCTGCCTCAGAAATCGGCTGAGGGGGAGTTGTGCTCCTCCTCCGAGTGGCAGATATTTCTTCTTCTTGTTGTTGTCTGTTGGATATGGATCGGTGTCTTGTTTCAGGTCTGGATATGGATCTTGTCTTTTTTAAATGCTTTGGTTTTGGCATGGGCTGTCTCTTGCGGGTGTGCTATGCCAGATGACGATCGTGGCGATGATGACGATGACGATGATGGTGATGCTGATGCGGATGTTGATGGCGATGATACTTGTATACATACATTAGCACGGCGATTGTATGTCAAGGTGAACTACTCCAGTGCAGACGCCGAGGCCGCGGACTTCGCTGCCGACGAGAAGGAGCTCGCGGATGCCATCAGCGCCTTGCAGAGTGCAGTCTGCAAATTGCAGAGGGGGATGTCTAAGGCTGGCGGGGGTGCCTTTGTCCAGGTCGAGACCGCGGCGCTTCTGCTCCGGGCGTTGCAGGCGCGGGTAAAGGCTTCCGCGTTCAGCGCCGCCGACGACGACGCCCTCGCATTTTTCGCGCAGGGCGCCGATGGGGGCCGGGATAGCGACGGGGGGCCTGGCGCCTCAGAGGCCGCCTCCTGCGCGAGCAAGGGCGGCAGCATCTTGAACGTGCTGGGGGGCGTTTTGGACGTGGCGAACGTGCAACTGGCCGCCGCGCGCAAGAGGTGTACTTCGGCCTGGCATGATTTTGAGATGTTCGCTCAGTCGCCCAAGGGCGAGATCAAGGTCTCCACTGGGGACATGGGTGAGGCCGAGAAGTCCGCGGCCGCTTGCGGCGAGGCCAAGTCCGGGGCCGGGGGGGCGCTGGCTGCCGGGTCCATGGGCCTGGCGGGCGACGAGGCTGCCCTCGAGGTGGTGGAGGGGGATTTTGCAGCCCGCGCCGACGGCTACGCCGCAGAGGCTTCGAGCCGCGCCAGGGCGCCGAAGGCGGTGCGGGGGGCGGGG